GATGAATGAAGGAAGGGAAATGTTGTCAGTAAATACTAAGTTATAGTTAGGTAAAAGTAAGAAGTTCTGGCATGCTGTTGGACAGTACTGTAAACTATGATAATGTACATTTCAGAAAGCTAAAAGAAAATATTTTCATGTTTGCGGAAGTAGATATGTTTAATCCAATGTAAACATTAACTTTAATTTAACATTAATTTTTAATTTAAAAAAAATCCTTTAAAAGATAAAATTGACCCATAAGTCTAATACTTTAAGGAAATAGAAAATTTATCATGAGACAACACTGAATTCAAAATGTCAATGATTCAATCAATTAATTTCTAGACATGCAAAAAATAAGTCAGTGAAGGGATGGCAAACCAGAAATTACAGAGGTGATGTACACAAGGACAAGAAAACTTTTTTATAAATATGCTCCAGATAATCAAGAATATAAAGGAAAACACAAGGAAACAGAGGAACAAAAATAAGATTTTTTTTCTTGCTAACAGCTTTACTGAAGTATAATTCACATGGAAAAATGAAAGACTTTTTTAAAAGATCAAAATGGAGCTTCCATAGATGGTATTGATAATATCTGAAATAAACATTTCACTGAAAGAAATTTATGTCAGATTAGACAGTACAGAAAAAAAGATCACTGAGCTTGAAAGTATAGCAATATAATCAATTCATAATAAAGCCGAAGGAGAAATAAGACTGGAAAAATAAAGTGAAAAAGATTTCTGTGATTTTATGGGCTATGCCAAGTAATTTTTAGAAATTTATGGGCTATACCAAGAAATTTTTAGAAAATTATGCAGAGCATATATATCTTTTCATTTCTTCTCTACGGTTATGGAAATACTCTGACAAAGGTATCATTTAATAATATTTAGCAGTGCTGATATCAATATGATAATGAAAATATCTTGAATATAAGTACATATGGAAAAATTTTATGTGGTAAATATTAACATTAAAAAGTAAACCATTCTCCTGGTATAATAGAGGCATGGTATAGAGGAAGGAGAAATACAGAAAAATAATGGTACCTAAGAGAGGTCAAAGAAAATTCTTCATAGTCAAAAGGTCATATTCAGCGTGCAGTTGGTATATTTGGAACAAATCCTTACCATTGTGCCGCAGCTCTTGACTTGTTTACAGACCCTAATACCATTGTTCCCAACTCTCATTGGCAGCACAGTGACAAAACTCTATCTGAGGAAAGAAAAACAGCTTAAAGCAGGAAGAGAAAGGTCATATTATTGAAGACCTTTTAATGCCTTGACATTCTTATATATGTTAGTTAACACACCTTCATAAAATCTGTGTAAGTTTAAAATTGTTCTATTGTCTTCATAGTACAAATGAGGAAATGATTTGGGGGGTTAAATCATCAGAATACTCATGTTCTGATTCACTCTAACATCAGAATTTAAGGTATTTCTGTCATACTAGATGCACTCAGAGGGGGGAAAAATTAAGCAACATGAGATACAAGAAAACTGAAACTGAGAAGAGTAACTTACCCATTACCAGAGGATTGATAAGTAGCAGAGCCAAGATTTAAACATAAGCAATATGTCATTTCCCCTTTCCACTATACCTCTATTACTTTAAAAAAGTGAATTATCTCCAAGGTGATTTATGTATATTTGTTGATGTGCCCTTTTATATTGTATGTTCTTATTTATTTTCATATTCTTGTATCCAATACATGGTAGCTAATCCCTATTCAGCAAATATTTGTGAGAATTGAATCTGCAGACCTATGTCTATGAAACAATGGCAAACAAAAACAATTATTTAGTAAATTTATCTTACTAGAAAAGTAAGATAAATTTGTACATAAGGACAAGATTGTAATAATGAAGAGTTGGAGATCTGAAATGTAGTAAATAGAAACATGAGAGGTAATGTTGTGTAGTAACTAAGAACATGGACTCGGGGGCGAGAGTGGACTAAGTTTATATTCTGATTTCACTGCCTACTAACTGTATGACTTAACTTCACTGTCTGCACTTGTTTTCTTATCTGAGGTGAGTCAGTCACCTACCTCATAGGGTTATTTTGAGTATGAAATAAGTTTGTAGGCATAAAGGACTAAGCACCAGTTCTGGCATATAAAAAGCACTTTACAAATGTTTGATCTTATTGTTCCTAAAATGAAACTATGCATTCATCCACTGTTTTGGCTCACTCTAAATTCCTTGCTGAAGAGGATTAATAAAATGGTCAAACTATCGATGGTCTCTGCTTTGTGCCTACAGACTAATAAAACTTAATGGCTGGGAGGCTGGCATCAAATGATGCCAGCCTCAGCAGTTTAGTGAGACCCTGTCTCAAAAACAGGAAAGGAAAATACGTATGGCAAAAATTGTACTTAGATAAAAAGCAATTAACAAAAATACCAGATACATAATAGAAGAAACAGGCATAGCAGCATTGCATGTGAAAAAGACTAAAAAGTTAGAGTTAGTATAGCTCAACAATGAAATAAATTCCAAAACTATTTGATTTTGAGCTATAGTAATATAATAGTTGAACAAGGGAAGTAAGAATTTATTCTGTGTTGATTATGTAGAATTCAGACTTAGTCATATAAGCAAACTGGCACAACTTCATAAAAGAGCAACTATCCTGGTGAAAGATTTTTTATATGGAGACTGGCTGAAGACACAAGAAAAGGAGAACTGAGAATCATGATAGCTATAGCATAGGATTTCCTTCTAATGATGCTTTTGTGGGTAGGATTCCCTAGCCAAATAACCCTTCTTTTTATAGGCATCAGGCACCATTTCTGCCTGTTATTGATTAGCACGTTCAGATCCCTACCAGTCTATGTTCAAACAAACCAATCACATCCACCTGTAGGAACCAGGGGGCACTCCAACTTCTTAATAGCACAGCTCTGCTTGTTCACTCTGTTGAGTATAATCTGTGTGACCTGACATGGCATAATTTGTCTTCTTCTCCTAGGTTGTGAATACATATAGTTTATGAATTCTGGTGTTCATTATTGTCTTTTTAACCATCTCCACAGTCTTTGAATGGGAATCCCTTCTTCACCAATGTTGTGAAAAGAAAGGGATTTAGACTGTTTCTCCTCCCTTTCCCCATTACTTAGCAGTAATATTGGATTGGGGGATGATTCAAATATTTGTTAATTTATTGGCATAAATGACTTGCGAGTTGCCTTTCAGTGGCAAGATTTAATTGTTTCAGGGTTTCCAATGTTATTATTAGCATTCATATTTTCCCAAAACAGGGCAATTTGCTCATCTGTTTATGATTTGCTTCATTCAGATTGTTTTGTAAACTATTTATACATCTTGCTTCTCTCAGCTCAAAGCTCCAAAAGACATACTCTATTAATCTTCATATACCCTTTATATATCTTTTACATAGCATAATCACTGACATACAGAAGATAATCAATATCTATTTGGTGAGTGAAATTAAAAAATCACAGTATTTAAGAAAAATAAAACAATGAACTGTGAAGTTCCCTGTAAACAGCATTAATATGTAAGCAAATACATAAGTATGAATTTCCCAACACTGTTGAAATCCAACCTCACTCCATCTTCCTTTACACTCGGAGGAATGACATCTTTAGAGCTGCCCTATATTTTTTCTCATTCCCCTTCCAAAATGAATGCCAGTTGCCGTGAGGCCCTGGGGCTCCTGAGGAACCCTGAAGGCAGCATCTCCCTTTGTGTAGGAAAGAGAAAGCCTAACAACAAGGTGATCCTAACTCCTTGCCTGAGTTAATTCTGAATGTTCCATTCACTTCCGAATTTCTGCTGAGATCTAAAACACTGCCTCTTCAAGAAATCATTTATTTTAGTCATAGTTTCATTTCTCCAATGTGTAGCTGCATAGCACCCCATCCTAAATTATAGGAAAATCATGAAGAAAACTAAAATGATTGGAATGAACTTATGTGACATGCCTTTTCTGATTTCTGTTTTTTGAATTAAATTTATGATTAACTGGCACATAAAATTTTACATATTTTGGGATAGTATGCAATGTTTCAATACATATATATGTATTTATATATATATGTGTGTGTATATAAATACATATATATGTATATATATATATAAATATATAAAGGGTATATTACAATGTTTAAATCAGGTTAAACATATCTATCTGCTCAACCATTTATCATTTCTTTATTGTGACAACTCTCAAATTTTTTTCTTCCAGCTTTTTGCAATGTACAGTACATTATTCCTACCTATAGTCATCCTACTACACACCAGAACATCTTGCTCCTATCTGTAATTTAGTGCCCATTGATCAACCTTTTCACATTTCCTCCCTCTACCCAACTCTCCTCCATTGCCAATAAGCACCATTCTACTATTTGAAAAGTATTTTATGTCCCACATATGAGTGCTATCATGCAGTACTTGTCTGTTACTGACTAACTTAACATACTGATCTCCACTTCCATCCATATTGTTGAAGATGATAGGATTTCTTTTTTGTGTGTGGGAGGGGGGGCTTAGTGAAATTCCATTGTGTATATATATCACATTTTCTTTATATGATTCTTGTTCTATTATTTATTGTATTTTAACTGTCTTATTCATTAAGGTAATTCTTTTGATAAAATAGCATGTGTTTCTTTTTCCTACCCATATGATAGATTTAAAATAGATTTAAAACTATTTAAAATTAAAAATCTGGATTGACAAAGGAATTTTTCTAATTTATGAATTTTTTTATGATTTCTGATTTATGAGTTATTGTATACCTTCCCAATGGTATATAATAAATTGTGTTTATTTATAAGAATAAGATTACATTAAATCAGCTCTGGTGTTTGAAACCAAGATATATAGTTTCCATATCTATATGTTCTTTTGTATTGCACTAGCCATTGGTTGATACTCAGTAAATACATATTGATTAAATTATCTAATAATAGAATGTGCTCTCTTTAAGAAACACTTTAATATAATAGGAGTGTTTTCTCTGTCTCCTGGGTTTATTTACAGTAAGCAGATCCGAGCTATGCTAGGCCAGTTCAGCCAGGCAGAAGACTTATTAATGAAAGCCGGAGTGCAGCCAGGGACTTTGAATGGAGTTCTTTTGGATCTTGGGTGTTCTTCCATGCAACTTGATGCTCCTGAAAGAGGTTTTTCCCTTCGGAAGGATGGCCCCTTGGACATGAGGATGGATGGTGGCAGGTGAGTATCAATAAAACATTTCTCCTTAAAACAAAAAATCAATTTCACAAAAGCACTCTGAATTTAATTTCCTCTTAAGACTGAAGAATTCCCATCACACACCTACACCAAGTACTACCCAGACATAATAAATCAGTTTTGTTTACTACTCATTATAGAGTTTAGTATTTCTCTGGCCTTAGAATTCTAAAAGAAAAATAATTATTGTTCTTAACACAGAATAGTGTGGAGGATAACTTCCCTACTGATTGTCTTTTTCACTGAAACCATATTGGGCTTTTAGGTTACCAGTAATACAAATGAATATTAGGATACTGAAATAATGGCTTTATTTTTACATGCCCAACTAAACCTCTTATGAGAAACAAAAAGAACTATCTTTAATGCATATTCTTTTATAATACTGAAAAAAATGGAGGGTTCTATGATTGAACTTGCTTGAGAAAAACTGCAGTTTTTGGTACATCAAACACAGCATTATGCATCAGATATCTTTTGCACTTCCTTTTCATTCTCACCCCTATGGGAACACTAGTGTTTATTCTCCATTTTTCAAATAGGGTACATATATGTTAAATTAACACAAAAAGGGTCACATTCTAGAAGAGTATCTGAATTAATTTTAAAAGCTTAGATTAGCATCTGTGTGAAAAACCAGTGCTGGCTCACGGCCTGAGCAACTCACATCTTATTCTACCAAAAACTGGTTTGTCTCATGGTAATTATTCACATATAGCGTTTTTCCCTGTGGTGGAATAAGACTTTTGTTAATTTGGATAGAGACTGATATTTGTTACAATCCTGTTTTTTCTGAGTCTAATACCTTCTGCATATGTCGTTGGCCTTCACAGAATGAAGAATGTCATCATGAAAGAAAACAATAAAAATCCTTGAAAAACCAGTGACTAATAGTAAAGGTCAAAATATATTCTCCTATTTGGGGATTGAAATGGTTTTACAAAAATGATAAAATATTAAGCAAATTTCTGCTATTTCTATACCTTGTTAAGGAGAATGCCTTCCAAAATACAAGGAACAAAGTTTCTAGTTAATAGTACATTCCTCCTGGGTGTGGTATTGTACATCTGTAACTCCATAACTCAAGATGCTAAGGCAGGAGGATCACAGGTTCAAAGCCATCCTCAACAATTTAGTGAGACCTGTCTCAAAAAAAAAAGAAAAAAAGAAAGAAAGAAAGAAAAAGAATAAGGCTAGAGATATGGCTCAGCGGTTACACCCCTGGGATCAAGCCCTGGTTGCCCCCACTCTCCAAAAATTAGTTAGTTCATTCCCATATTGTAAGAGTAAAGACTTTTCAAAAAATTGTAGTTTGTAATGGATGAGATTAAAGTTGAGGAAAGTTATCTTAAAAAGTTGACTGGTAATTGGATTCAAATGGCAGATTAGAAGGTCATTTTCTTGGTTGCTTTCTGGCATGAAACTAAGAAATCAGACATGCAGCATCTCAGCAAGGTGAGAAGTAGGTACTTAACTGAGAATTAATTCTGGACATTCAAGGCAGATCAGAGACTCAGGAGGTTGGACAGTGAAATAAAAATGTTCCATGATGAACAAAAGTTAATAAATTTAAAACTAGAAAGCCTGAACTACAAAACATTCTCAATAAAATATTTTCATGAAGAAGAAATGAAAAATAAAAGTGAAAACCAGCAAAGGGGGGAACTACATAAGAAGAATAACCAATCAAAGAAGAAAGTAATTCAAATTAAAAACCAGGAACGAATCAAAAATTGACAGGGAATAAAAATTATTTCTCAATAATAACATTGAGTATAAATAGACTAAATTCATCAATCAAAAGACACAGACTGGCAGAGTGGATTAAAAAATAAGACCTAAAAATATGTTGTCTCTAGGAGACTCACCTCATAGGCAAAGACATCCAGACACTGAAGGTAAAAGGATAGGATAAAACATACCATTCACATGGATCTCAGACAGGCAGGGGTTTGTATCCTTGTTTCAGATAAAGTGGACTTCAAGCCAAAGTTTATCAGAAGGGACAAAGAAGGTCATTTCATACTGCTTAAGGGAATTATACATCAACAAGACATAACAATCAAAAATATTTAAGGTCCAAACAATGGTACATCTATGTATATCAAACAGGCCCTTCTCAATTTCAAGAATCAAATATACCACAACACAATAATACTGGGTGACTTTAACACACCTCTCTCATCACTGGATAAATCTTCCAAACAAAAACCAAATAAAGAAGCTATAGAATTTAAAAATATAATTAACGATTTAGACTTAATAGACATATATAGAATATTTCATTCACAAATGACTGAATACACTTTGTTTTTAGCAGCACATGGTTCTTTCTCTAAAATAGAACATATCTCAGACCACAAAGCAACGCTTAGCAAGTACAAAAAAAATAGAGATGATACCTGGCATCCTATCAGAGCATAATGGAATGAAATTAGAAATCAACAATAAAATTAAAAATAGAATCTACTCTGACACCTGTAGACTACATAATATACTAATGAATGAACAATGAAAAGCAGAAGAAATCATGGATGAAATAAAAAATATTTAAAGGTACATGAGAATACCAAGACAGTATATCTAAATCTCTGGGACATTGTGAAGGCAATTCTAAGAGGAAAGTTCATTGCATCAAGCTCATTCATTAAAATATAGAAAGTCACCAAATAAACAACCTAATGTTACATCTCAAAGCCCTAGAAAAAGAACAAATCAACACCAAAAGCAATAGAAGACAGGAAATAAATAAAATTAGAGTAAAAATCAATGAAATTGAAACAAAAAATTAAAATTTTAAAAAATTTATAAAGCAAAAAGTTGGTTCTTTGAAAAAACAAATAAAATTGATAAACTGTTAGCCAAGCTAACTAAGAGAATGAAAGAGAAAACTAATTCATGATGAAAAGGAAATATGATGGACACTACTGAAATACACATGATAATCAGAAACTATTTTGAAAATTTTTACTCCAATAAAATAGATAAACTTAAAGACATTGACAAATTTCTAGAGACATATGATCTACCCAAATTAAATCAGGAGGATATAGAAAATTTGAACAGATCACTTTTAAGCAATGAAATTGAAGGTGCCATCAAAAGCCTACCAACAAAGAAAAGCCCAGGACCACACCAGTTCTCAGCAGAGTTCTACCAGACATTCAAAGAGTAACAAACACCAATCCTCTTGAAATTATACCATGAATTAAAAAAGGAGGGAACCCTTCCAAACTCATTCTATGAAGCTAACATCACCCTGACACCGAAACCAGACCAAGACACCAAGGAAAGAAAATTTCAGACCAATATGCATGATGAATGCAGATGCCAAAATTCTTTTTTTTTTTTTAATTTTTTTTAGTTGTAAATGCACACAGTGCCTTTATTTTATATATGCAGTGCTGAGAATCAAACCTAGGGCCTCACACATGCCAGACAAGCATTCTACCACTGAGCCACAACCTCAGCCAAGATGCAGAAATTCTTGATAAAATACTGGCAAATTACATACAAAAACATATTTAGAAGATACTGCATCATGATCAAGTGAGTTTCACTAGGGATGCAAGTTTGGTTCAACATACAGAAATCTAAAACGTAATTCATCACATCAATAAACTTAAAGACAAGAATCATGTGATTATTGTAATAGATGCAGAAAAGGCATTTGACAAAAGGAAGCATACATTCATTTTCAAAACACTACATAAACTAGAGATCGTAGGAACATAACTCAACATTGTAAAAGCTATATATGTTAAACCCAAGGCCAACATCATTCTAAATGGAGAAAAATTGAAAGCATTCCCTCTAGAAACTGGAACAAGATAGGGATGCCCTCTTTCACCACTTCTATTCAACATAGTCCTTGAAACTCTAGACAGAACAATTAGAAGAATTAATTAAAGAGATACAAATAGAAAATGAAAAACTCAAACTTTCAACTATTTGCTGACAACTTGATTCTTTATTTAGAAGACAGGAAAAAAAAAAAAAAAAACTCCACCAGAAAACTTCTAGAACTCACAAATGAATTCAGCAAAGTACTGGGATATAAAATTAATACCCATAAATCAATTACATTTCTATACATCAGTGATTAATCCAGTAAAAGAGAAATTAGGAAATTTATCCGATTCACAGTAGCCTCAATATATGTACATATTTGGGAATCAATCTAACAAAAGAGGTGAAAGACCTCTTCAATGAAAATACAGAAAACTAAAGAAATTGAAGAATACCTTAGAAAATGGAAAGTTCTTCCATGTTTTGGGATAGGCATAATTAATATTGTCAAAATGGCCATACTACCAAAAGTGCTATACAGTTTTAATACAATTCCTGTTAAAATTCCAGTGGCATTCTTCATAGAAATAGAAAAATCAGTCTTGAAATTCATTTGGAAAAATAAGAGGCCCAGAATATTCAGTAATTCTTAACAAGAAAAGTGAAGCAGGAGACATTACAATACCAGACCTTAAATTATACCATAGGGCCATAGTAACAAAAACAGCATGTTATTGGCAAAAAAAAAAAAAAAAAACAGGCATGAAAGTGAATGGAACAGAATAGAAGACACAGAGACAAACCCACAAAATACAGTTATCTCATCCTAGCAAAGGTACCATAAACATACATTGGAGAAAAGATAGCATCTTCAATAAATGATACTGGGAAAACTGGAAATCCATATGTAATAGAATAAATTGAACCCCTCTCTCCCTGCACAAGATTCAACTCAAAGTGGATCATGGACCTAGGCATTAGACCAGAGACCCTGTGCCTATTAGAAGAAAAAGTAAGCCCAAATCTCCATCATGTTGGCTTAGGAACCAACTTCCTCAACAAGACTCCTAAAGTGCAAGAAATAAAATCAAGATTCAATAAATGGGATGGTAACAAGCTAAAAATCTTCACAGCAAAAGAAAAAATCAAGAATGTAAAAGAAAAAGCCAAAGAATAGGAGAAAATCTTTGCCACCTGCACCTCATATAGAGCATTAATCTCCAGAATATACAAAGTAATCAAAAAAACTTAATACCATAAAAAAACAACAAATAACCCAATTAATAAATGGACTAAGAAACTGAACAGGCACTTTACAGAAGAAGAAATGCAAATGGTCAAAAAATATATATTCATCAGCAGTAACAATCAGAGAAATGCAAATTAAAACTAACTGAGATTTCATCTTACTCCATTCAGAATGGCAATTATCAGGAGTACAAGTAACAATAAATACAGGTGAGGAAAAAGGCACATTTATATATTGCTTGTGGGGCTGCAAATTTGTGCAACCATAATGGAAAGCAGTAGGGAGATTCCTCAGAAAACTTGGAATGGAACCACCATTTGACCCAGTTATCCTATTCCTTGGTATATACCCAAAGGACTTAAACATTTTACTTTATTTTAGTTTGAAAAAATACAAATCTACAGACATAATAATACCTCGTCTATGAATTAAGGTTAATGGTTAATAATATATTTTTAACTTCCATATGCTTTGACCTTGATAGATGTTACAAACAGTACCCCTGACCCTTGCCATAAAGATGAGCATTTGAAATGGAGAATCTATGTTATTTGTGTAAGATTTCATTCTCAAACTTTAATATCTCAGAAACAGCTGGGTTTGTAGCTCATTGGTAGAGCACTTACCTAGTACATGTGAAGCCTAGGTTTGATTCTCAGCACCACATAAAAATGAATGAATGAGTAAATTAATAATGTATTGTGTCCATCTACAACTAAAAAAAAATTAAAAAAAAAAACTCAGAAACTCTCCTAGCATGTGTTTTTTGTGTGTTTGACTTTACATCCTAGTACTCTTAAGTTTTTACCTCTTGTCAATGAATATTTTTCTAAATTTTTTTATTGTTGGTTGTTCAAAACATTACATAGTTCTTGATATATCATATTTCACACTTTGATTCAAGTGGGTTATGAACTCCCATTTTTACCCCGTATACAAATTGCAGAATCACATCAGTTACACATCCATTGATTTACATATTGCCATACTAGTGTCTGTTGTATTCTGCTGCCTTTCCTATCCTCTACTATCCCCCCTCCCCTCCCCTCCCCTCCCCTCCCCTCTTCTCTCTCTACCCCCTCTACTGTCATTCATTTCTCCCTCTTGTATTATTTTCCCCTTTCCCCTCACTTCCTCTTGTATGAAATTTTGTATAACCCTGAGGGTCTCCTTCCATTTACATGCAATTTCCCTTCTCTCTCCCTTTCCCTCCCACCTCTCATCCCAGTTTAATGTTAATCTTCTTCTCATGCTCTTCGTCCCTACTCTGTTCTGAGTTACTCTCCTTATATCAAAGAAGACATTTGGCATTTGTTTTTTAGGGATTGGCTAGCTTCACTTAGCATAATCTGTTCTAATGCCATCCATTTCCCTGCAAATTCTATGATTTTGTCATTTTTTAATGCAGAGTAATACTCCATTGTGTATAAATGCCACATTTTTTTTATCCATTCGTCTATTGAAGGGCATCTAGGTTGGTTCCACAGTCTTGCTATTGTGAATTGTGCTGCTATGAACATCGATGTAGCAGTGTCCCTGTAGCATGCTCTTTTTAGGTCTTTAGGGAATAGACTGAGAAGGGGAATAGCTGGGTCAAATGGTGGTTCCATTCCCAGCTTTCCAAGAAATCTCCATACTGCTTTCCAAATTGGCTGCACCAATTTGCAGTCCCACCAGCAATGTACAAGTGTATCCTTTTCCCCACATCCTCGCCAGCACTTGTTATTGTTTGACTTCATAATGGCTGCCAATCTTACTGGAGTGAGATGGTATCTTAGGGTGGTTTTGATTTGCATTTCTCTGACTGCTAGAGATGGTGAGCATTTTTTCATGTACTTGTTGATTGATTGTATGTCCTCCTCTGAGAAGTGTCTGTTCAGGTCCTTGGCCCACTTGTTGATTGGGTTATTTGTTATCTTATTGTCTAATTTTTTGAGTTCTTTGTATACTCTGGATATTAGGGCTCTATCTGAAGTGTGAGGAGTAAAGATTTGTTTCCAGGATGTAGGCTCCCTATTTACCTCTCTTATTGTTTCTTTTGCTGAGAAAAAACTTTTTAGTTTGAGTAAGTCCCATTTGTTGATTCTAGTTATTAACTTTTGTGCTATGGGTATCCTATTGAGGAATTTTGTCAATGAATATTGATGTCAGTGAACTAATTGGTTCTTTTTGTGTGTAGGTACCCAGACATGCCCACCGCTGCTGATGTTGTGAATGCTTTAGATCAGCAGGCACTTGCATCCATCCTAAGAGCATACGGGGAGGAGAAGCATGCCAAGAAAATTGCTTCAGCAATCGTTCAAGCACGTAGCATATACCCCATCACAAGAACCCAGCAACTTGCCAGCATTGTTGCAGGTACCTTCATTAATTCCAAGTAGTAAGAAGAAAGAAAGAAATATGTTTTCTCCCCACCCCACCCCAGACTCCCAGGGGGATTAATTTGTATCTGAAGTGATTCAGGGTAGAATCTTGCCTATTCTTCTCTAATGTTAGTTCTTCTGGTTTTGAAGACTTCCCCCCCACCACCACCAAGCACTGTTTCTCTTCACACAGTTAAATATATGTGTATGTATGTGTGTGTGTGTGTGTGTGTGTGTGTATAAACCACACACACTGCGGTTTGCTTGTTAGTATAATAATAGATTTTTTTTTCCTTGAGATGATTTACTATCTGTGCCTATCAAGGTGAAACATGGAATGACAAGAGCAAAAGAACTTCTTGATCCATCACAGTGGTGATGTAACCTATATAAGATTTGACATTACCTCTCTTAGTTTCACATTTCTGCATTTTAATATTTTGGGCAAAAGGAGAATTGCATTGCCCAACTACTAAAATAAAATCCAGTGACTCATACATCTATTCTAAACAACAAGCTAACAAAGGGTATGTGATGTATAGGTTATTTCACTTTGTGAATGCTAACTAAATCAGCCTGAGGGGTTTATTGAAACATTTCATCTTTTCTGCTGTTCACCACCATGAACCTCTTGAACCTGAGTCTAGCTAGGAGATGTTTTATTATAGCCCTTCTGTTTGAAGCCAAAGTTGTTTCATAGATGAAAGTTTTCCAAGGTAAAAATACAACTCCTGCAGTTATTTAGGAGAATTCCAGTGTTTAATTATTTGTCTTTTTGGACCATCTAAAACCCTAAATCATTTGTATTTACCAAAAACTGTGTTAAGATTTCTTTCAGTGGTTCCTATTTAATTTCTTAAGTAGTTAAAGAAGATAAGGAATATTTGTATGGCATATCAATAGAACCTAATATTGATTACCGTTATCTTAACATTATCCATAGTTTCAAGAATGAAATTTAATAATGATTTTATTCAGATCATTTAGATGTGGAAGCCATATGTTAATTATTTTATGGCATAATTGAATAATATCTTGTTCTACTTAGCATAATGAAATATGAAGTATTGACTAAGTGTTTAATTTTTTAAGCTGCATAATTTAGGGCCCTTACAACTTACCATTAAGATTCCTTTAGGCAAGTGAGAGCAGAATTTTTGTGGGTTATGTGAACATAAAACATTTCATGATATTTTTCCCAAAAAAATAATTTATACTAGTATGCTGACATTAAATTCATCTTTTTTCTTGTGTACCTAAGTTTCTTACTTCATACTCACTAACATGACTCCACCTTATCCTTTCTGTCATTCTTTATGTAAGTATGTTTTGACTTTGTTTATCATATTAAAAAGAAAAGCAGTGAGAAGTCACACACGTTGTTTATTTATAAGAAAATCCAAAATGTTCTGGTATTGAAAATAAGGGCTTAGAGCTACCAAGCATCCTAGGAAGATTGCCCAGTGAAAAAACCTTATCTGATAACTAGTGCAACTGAGATGTAGGAGATCAACAATTTGCTCAAGATTATAACCTAATTAATAAGAGAGTAGTAATATAGAATATGTAAGTTCATGAATTTGAGATGTAATTGGGAATCTGCTTTTAAGAAATTAACTTTTCTGGCCCTGGATCCTCTAATGTGTAAATGTGGGGAAATAATATTGCAATGTTAGATAGATTATGTTAGATAGTCAATGTTAGATGGTCTGTTTAAATTATGTATATCTTCCTGACTCAATCTGGCAAATTGTGTGACTTAAGAAATTTGTTGATGCCTTCAATGTCTTCTATTTTATTGAGTATAAGATTTCAAGCTAATTTCTAATTATCCTCTGTATTTCTGTAGTGTCTGTTGTGATATTACCTTTTTCATTACGAATGCTGGAAATTTGAGTTCTCTCCTTCTCTTCATTAGAATGGCTAAGGGTCTGTCAATTTTATTTATTTTTTCAAAGAACCAACTTTTTGTTTTGTCAATTTTTTCAGTTGTTTCTTTTGTTTCGATTTCATTCTAATTTTAATTATTTCTTGCCTTCTACCGTTTTTCTGATTTGTTCTTCTTTTTCTAGGACTTTGAGATGTAGTGTGAGGCTATTTATTTGTTGACTTTTTCTTGTTTTAAGGAATGAACTCCATGCAATTAATTTTCCTCTTGGTACTGCTTTCATAGTGTCCCAGAGATTTCGATATGTTGTGTCTATGTTCTCATTTACCTCTAAGAATTTTTTAATCTCCTCCTTAATGTCTTCTGTAACCCATTGTCCATTCAGTAGCATATTGTTTAGTCTCCAGGTGATGGAGAAATTTTTACTTTTTATTTTGTCATTGATTTCCTATTTCATTCCATTATAATCTGATAAAATGCATGGTAGTATCTCTACATTTTTGTATTTGCTAAGAATTGCTTTGTGGCATAGTATATGGTCTATTTTAGAGAAGGATCCATGTGCTGCTGAGAAGAATGTGTATCTGCTTAATGCAGATGGAAATATTCTATATATGTCAGTTAAGTCTAAGTTATTGATTGTGTTATTAAGTTCTCTAGTTTCTTTATTCAACTTTTGTTTGTAAGATCTTTCTAATGGTGAGAGAAGTGTGTTAAAGTCATCCAAGATTATTGTGTTGTGGTCAATTTGACTCTCAAACTTGAGAAGAGTTTGATGAAAATAGCTACACCATTGTTTGGGGCATATGTATTTATGATTGTTATGTCTTGTTGTTGTATCATTCCCTTGAGAAGTATGTAATGTTCATCTTTATCCCTTTTGATTAATTTTGGCTTGAAGTCTACTTTATTTGATATGAGGGTAGAAACCCCTGCTTACTTCTGCAGTCCATGTGAGTGATATGATTTTTCCCAACCTTTCACCTTCAGTCTGTGTATGTCTTTTCCTGTCAGATGAGTCTCCTGGAGGCAGCATATTGTTGGGTCTTTTTCAATCCAATCTCCTTGCCTATGTCTTTTGATTGGTAAGTTTAAGCTGTTAACATTTAGGGTTATTATTGAGACAAGGTTAGTATTTCCAGCCATATTTGTTTATTTTTGTTACTTAACTTGACTTGGTTTTCCTCTTTGATTAATTTTTCTTTTAGTATAATACCTCCCTCTGCTGATTTTTATTGTTGTTTTTCATTTCCTTTTCATGGAATATTTTGCCAAGGTTGTTTTGTAGTGCCAGTTTTCTAGCTATAAATTCTTTTAAATTTTGTTTATCGTGGAAGGTTTTTATTTAGTCTTCAAATCTAAAGCTTAATTTTGCTGGATACAAGATTCTTGGTTGGCACCCATTATCTTTCAGAGCTTGATATATTTTGCTCCAGGATCTTCTATCTTTCAAGGTCTGTGTTGAAAAATCTGCCATTACTCTAATTGGTTTTCCCCTATATGTAATCTGATTTCTTTCTCTTATGGCTTTTAAAATTCTCTCCTTATTCTGTATGCTAGGCATTTTCATTTTAATGTGCCTTGGTGTGGATCTGATTTTGTACATTTGGCATCCTGTAGGCTTCTTGAATTTGGATTTCCCATTCATTCTTCATGTTTGGAAACTTTTCTGGTATTGTTTCATTGAATAGATTGTTCATTCCTTTGGTTTGGACCTCTGTGCCTTCCTCTATCCCAATAACTCTTAAATTTGGTCTTTTTTTGCTATCCCATATTTCTTGAATGTTCTGCTCTTGGTTTCTTACCTTTTTTGCTGTGTGGTCTGTGTTCTTTTCAAGATGATATATTTTATCTTCATTGTCTGATGTCCTATCTTCCAAGTGGTCTACTCTGTTGGTGATGCTTTCATTTGAGTTTTAATTTGGTTTATTATTTCTTTCATTTCAAGGACTTCTGTTTCTTTCTCTCTCTCTCTCTCTCTCTCTCTCTCTCTCTCTCTCTCTCTCTCTCTCTCTCTCTCTCAGAACCTCTATCTCCCTGATGAGGTGATCTTTTGGATTGAGCCAGGCTCATTGTTGAAGTGATCTTTCACTGATTGTATTTGTTCTCTTATGTCTTCTTTGAGTTCACAGAACATTTTAACCATGTATATCCTGAAATCTTTCTCTGTCATTTTTTCTGCTGTAGCTTGCCAATGATTCTTATAATGTGTTGTCTTGATTTGTTTGTGGTACTTTCTTCCCTTGTCTTTTCATGTTACTTGTGTGTCTTCCTTTCCAGTTCTGTGGGTCTGGTGTGTTATTGTTTTTACCCTATAGATTTGTAGTGCTCTTGTAGGGTTCCAAGATCCCTCCTTTGTGGGGAAGGACAATGATAACAGATTCCAATATCAACAATACATCACCTATGAACAAATTGTTGTTATTAAGACATTTACAGTTTAGTCTCAGTGTCCAGAAATGTTGGATTCAATTATTATTTAAAATATAATCAGTAGTTTCATAAAAAGGCTTACAGTATCTGGAAGTGGACAATGAACTAGGGGTTGGGTGTAGGACGATATGCTGAGAAGGAAAAATGTGAGGGTATAGAGTTAATATATCTTAGAAAATGTGAAGGAGAAGTCTAATGAAGAGGGTTAGTAGCAGGGGAATAGAAATAAAGTAATTTAGGGTAGACAAGTACATGGGAAGATAGTACAGTGCATAAAACAAACACACATATTTATTTAGAAAAATACAGGATGTAAAAAAAAGTAAAATTTGGAGGGTGAAAGAAGAAGAAAGAACAAAATAAGGAAAAAAAAGAAAAGAGAGAAGAAAAAGAAAGGGGGGGGCTTATGCAACTTCTCTATATTATATAATTCAGGTGACTCAGTTCTATTTCATGCAAAGTTCTTGATTTCACATATGTTGGGGATGTGAGGGCTAGAGGATAGAAAGATAGAAGAGAAAGATAAAGAAAAAAATATTTGAAAGAAGAAACCAGGGTTGTTGGTAGTTTTTGAGATTCGTTTTTTTTTTCCTGCTTCTCTTCTCATTCAGTAGGTGGGGTTGTCGGTTTTAAGCTAGTATCTCTGCCCTCAGAATGGTGTAGGTAACCATGGT